AGAGACTGAGGCAAGCTGTCTATTGATCTCATCTCAAGATAATCAGACATAAAATGATAAATCAGTAAACCTATTAAATTACGCCCAACAATAAAAATAAAACCTATCAATATTTAAACAAGGAAAACCTAAAAGCCAATTTAATTCCAATTAAATTCTCCAGCAAAACACTAATAAAAAGCAAACCTTACAGCCAGGAATGATCTCCTCTGTGATGGTTAGAATTGGGCTATACTCTATTCCAATTATTTCAGACTGCCCATCAGTGAGAACAAATCTAAGGAGACGAGGCTGATGCTGCCAACTCCTAAATGAAGAATCAATGACACTTTGACATATGTCCCTTACGGAAACTAGCTGCACAAATAAAAAATTGAGTATCATAAAAGTAAAAATTTTAAAAGTGCAAAATTCCAAAAGTGAATTAGACACTAAGGAGATTTTGGGATCAATTTTATATATACGAGAAACTAAATTGAACAAATGTGATACTCTTGGACTAAACTAGCTTCATTATAAGTTAAAGCAAGTATTAACCTTTACTAGCAAAGAAGATATATAAATTCTAGCACCCTGTGGAGGAGTTCGTAGAGAGCTTTCTCTCCAACTAGGAAACCCAAGTTCAAAACGCACCCTCACCACTAACCACTATTTCTAACCTAGTTGCCATTAAAACTCAACTTCCCATTAAAAAAATAAAATAAAAACTCTGGCACCCTTGAGAGGATTCAGATGCCATAAATTATTAGGGAGAAGATCTATCAACCCTTTATAGCTTTTGAAGCTTATCAACTTCTACATCTAAGTAGAGGGGGTTCAGAAGTCATCTAACATAAAAAGATGACTGAAAACTCTTATTTAATGAAAAGAAATCAGATTAGGGAAAATTTATAAATCCCGTCCATTTGATGTTGCCTAAATTATGACTGAATGGTAAATGTAAGCATGTAGCTCAGAAAAAGTATTGTTGAACCAAGAACAACTTCCATGTTTCACTAAATATAACATTGGCACTATTTCATCAAATTAAATGGGTTGCTATGTAATTTTAAGAGATAAGTTGAGCAAAGAATGCGAGAGTAATGCATTTACACTAACTCGTCTTTTATCAAAAAAAAAAAAAAATTAAAATAAAAGAGAAAAGAGCAAAACTTCCCAACTTAATCATTAAGGGAAGTACTGCTTTAGGACAACGACATTCCCTATCCTCAAGATGATGCGGCTCTTGTGTGTATAGAGGTTGAAAGCTCGTAAAATACTTGATTATAAGAGGGCTCTCCTAGTTCAGCTTAAGATTATTAGTCTTTCATTCTTTTAGATGTCCCCACCTTCCTTCAAATCAAGTTTTAAAAATGGAAGCTCTTCTAGCAAATCTATGGTCCATAAAATCTTATCATTCGACACCTCAACTCATCCTATGTCCAATGTGACAAGTGACTCCACATATAGCTATGATTTCCTCTTGAAGCCATTCAAGTAGTTGATCTTGTAAGAATACAATAAACCAACCAAAACTACTCGAACATACTTTACAGGGATAACACATTCAACACAACGATAGAGTGCATCCAGATTCAACTTAATTGAAATTATGGGATTTGTTAGTAGCTCCTAGATAAATAGAATAATTAGTCAGCCGTCAACATTTCAATCTATTGATCTTCCTTCTTCAATAAATTTGAACAACATTTGATGGTTAACTATCTAGTTATTAGTATTTAAACAATGAATGGAGGAATACCCCATTATTATCAATTCAATTGATGATGATGATTAGAGAAAGCTCATAACACTAAGTGAATTTTACCTAAATAAAGCTTTGAATAGTCGCAATACTCGCTTCATTCCATAAGGTAAAATAGCCTAAAATGATGAGGACGTTCCTTCTCTGCTTTATGGAAGGTGGGAGAAAACCCTAAATGTCCCATCCCTTTTATAAAAATTATCATAAACTGTTAATGTGGTAGACTTTATAAGAGTTAATTGCTTGTATTCATCCTTCATGAATGAAAGCTAGATGCAGCACTATTGTATAGAAAATAAAGCTAACTTCCTCTAGAGTGGATGCCAAACTCTTTGGGATGAACTTGTATTAAGATGTCGGTAAACTATTTTCTTGAATTTATCGCTTCAAAGGGCATAAAATGTAAGAGTATTCCTCAAGAAAAAAGCATAAGATGGTCTTTTACTTCAAATCTTGCATCTTAATCGGGTTGTCCAGTGGGGTTCGCCCAACTTGGCAATACATTGATCTCCATTACATAAGCTTTATTGATACTCTAGAATATTAGATGTCTGACAAAAGTGTTGTTTGAGTAGACATAATTGGCGAGCAAATTCACAATATTATTTTCTTATGAATGGTGGTAAGATTTTGGCATACTCAAACTAGCAAATCTCCACTCTAATTTTCACCAAACACTTTAATTAAAAAGATATCATCACACGTGCTCATTGATTTGATTTATCGCTAGTTAGGAATGCCAAGAAAAAAATATATCATACTTCGATGCCACCAACACACTTAAAACTAACAAATAACAAATCATACCAAACATGCTTGTTGATTGCAAGTAAGTACAAAGTAAAAGCAAGGGCAATGACCATATCATCATGGTTCTTGAGAATGGATCCAAACCTTTGGCTTTGATTTTTGAAGGCATCATCTATATGCATCAGGTAAACCTAGTTAAAAAAAGAGAAACAATAATATATCAACGACGATATCAGCTACAAACCTGGACCTTAATAACTACCATGAGGAAGCAATTGATGTCAAACTCACTAAGGATGAGATATACCTACAAATATCTTCAAAATTATCATCACATATAGAGACACAAGAACATTAGACTTTTCATGACATAGTACCTCAACTCCACTCCTTTCCTACGTAAAACAAAGTTGCTTGCTTTCTCTCCAACCCTCAAATAGAATTGAAGTTATTCCCAAACAAGTTATTTAAGTTGAGAAGAGAAAATGTAAATCACCCCCCTCAAACATTTTTTCCTACGTAAATGCAATTCCCTTGCTTTCTCTCCAACCCTCAAATAGAATTGAAGTTATTCAAGTTGAGAAGAGAAAATGTAAATCACCCCCCTCAAACATTTTGCAATTCCCTTGCTTTCTCTCCAACCCTCAAATAGAATTGAAGTTATTCCCAAACAAGTTATTTAAGTTGAGAAGAGAAAATGTAAATCACCCCCCTCAAACATTTCACAATTCCCCAAATAGAATTAAAGTAAAACAAAGTTGCTTGCTTTCTCTCCAACCCTCAAATAGAATTGAAGTTATTCAAGTTGAGAAGAGAAAATGTAAATCACCCCCCTCAAACATTTCACAATTCCCCAAATAGAATTAAAGTAAAACAAAGTTGCTTGCACCCTCAAACATTTCGCAATTCCTCCCCCCAACCCCCCCCCCAAGTAGTGCTCAAAAAGAAGAGTTTCTATTTGTCGCTTAATATCAAGACAAGCTAGATATAAGAGGCTACTTGGCTAGTTAACTTCCAAGACCCCTTGATGATACATGGAAGTGACATCTAAAGCACAATCTTCGCTATAGTAAGGTTTCGTTCAACCCTCTTTAGAGTGATTAGAAAATCGAGAAGCTTCCTCATCCTTATAAAAAACACAATTAAAAAAATTGACAAAGAATTTATGCATTCCAAGGCCAAAAGAAAGTTGTGGACAATGTCTCGGAGGTGTTATTTTACCATCTTTCTCTAGATAAAGATGGCATCGTTGTAGCCCTCCAAGTTTTGTCCATCCTACCCTAGAATAAAAAAAAACCGTAATTTCTACTAGATTGATGCTTCATCATCTGCTCGTAGATTGCTCCTATATTCTTCAAAACTAAGGTCATGACCTTGTAGTAGTGCAAGCTAATGTTGGTGATGATGCTAGTTTTTTCTTCCATTGAGAGCATTCAAATATATTGGTAACCATAGAAAGCATCTGAGAAGACCATAACTAAGTGCTCGATGAAGGTTAACCAGGGCATTAATGCCTAATAGAGGATAACCAGCATTTGGGCAAGCTTGTTTAAGGTTGGATAATTCAGTGCATATTTTTCATTTGTGATTATTCTCATTCAACGTTTAAGCAATAAATCTACTGGTAGCACTATACCTCTCCCTAAATGGATTCCAAAACTAGGTTGTAAACTACTACCTTTTATGCTTCATTACCTAGCACTCACATGGACATTAAAACAGTGTTGGAAGGAATGAATGTCAACACTCAGCATTTCCAATGTTAGCCAACAAAAAACATAACTTCTAATCATTAAGGGCTCAAGTAGTCATGCTTTGAATTCGCCTTCTACACAAATGTTGCTCGCATCAAGGTGAATAGACTTCCTTCAAGTAAAAACTATGGGACTAAACAAGGGTGTTGAGAAGTATATATGGCCTTTTTTAGGACTTCACTGTCAAATTATATGTTGAAAGCATGCTCATCAAATAAAAAGAAATTGAATTATATGACAATGATGTCTAGAAGGCAAGAAAGTTCAGCATTTTTGTATAAATAAATTTTTTATCACCTCAGGTAGCAAGAAGGGAGTTGTTAGCATTGATAATCAAATAAGTCATACAAAATACCATCAATATGTCATAATCTCATACCTTTAATATAGCTTAATTGAGAATGGTATTGGTTGAAAACCTAGTTCAACTAAGATCTTTCCAATATTACGGCTTAAAATCAATGCCTATGGGAGGCAAGTATTCATCACAAAAGAAGATTGATAGGTTACATGTAAATACTGAGTCAAAGAGAACTCCTTGAGCTCATCCCCTTGGAGGCTAGGCTAGGTAACTACTTTTCTCCCTACTTATCTAAATTAGAAATAATGGCAACACTAATTATTAAAGAAGCTACTAAAATCAACCCAACTTTGGTATCAACAAACAATACCTTGCCAGGGTCTAGTTCCTAGTTGAAAGACAAGTACTCTTCTAATTTCCTATTCAGATTAGTTCCAGTAAGTTCTTTAGTATATGACGCTTCTTTATAAAATAGATGTAGTTTTAATGGAATTTTTAATATTGAGAACTATCTCGCTCTCTATATACCCGGACATAAGTACTTATGAAATTATTTTGAAAATATGTTACATAGTTCTTCACAACTACATGAGGGAGCTATAAGGAGAATACTTGTTTTAAAGGATAGTGTACTTTATCTAACATTAAAAGACATTGATGAGGAGGAAAAGGAACCCAACTTCTTGGAACCTGTGTAGTGATCAGTTGACTAGGTTGATTTCTTCAAAACTAAGATTGATGAGGATCTCAAAAAAAATCCCCTTGGGAGCACTCTCAAAGATCTTAGCCATTGAAGTTGGAAGGTTCAACACCTAAAAAAAGTAAAACATTCCCTCTAACAAGGCCTGGACAAAATCAGCCAACTTCACTATTGACTAGTTAGTATTTCCGTTTTAAATCTTGAGACACTATCAAAAGACCTGTCCCCAGCGTCTCAAATGGAGCCAGTTACAAGAGTCTTCTTATGTAAAGAGAACTTACAGGTTGGATGACAAGCCAATACTAAAACTTGTCAAAAGAGATAATTCTACAATGGAGTAGCAAGATTAAGTATTGTAAGGTAACGTCTTTCAAGGTAGTTGAATCCTATAGTTAATGACAATAAAAATGCTGTGGCTGGCATGGTGGTCTCAAATGTAAGCATGAATTTATGGGATCAATATTTACCTCTACTACTTTATAATTTAGGCACCTTTACATTGAATAAGAGTTATTCCTTCATGATATCTCCAGAAAAGACAAGTACAGTTACAAACTTTAATAATTGAATGAGGATCGTGAAAAAACATATGAATTTTTCGCATAGATTAAACGCATCCACACACACACACCCGTGCATACATATATATACATATAAACATATATATATATATATATATGTGTGTGTGTGTGTGTTAGCAATAATCGCTTGGCTCAAATCAACATCAATGAGCCAATTAACGAGTCTGGATCAGCTCAGCTTGAACTTTAATTAAGCTAAAACTAGATCAAACATAGCCAACTCAAAATTGGATGAAAAAAATATTTGCATCTATCAATATATGAGTGACAATATACATACATTTTTGTCTATATTCATCATCATCACCATCATCAGCCTATCCCAACTATTTGGAGATGAGATTAAAAATCTTAATTTCCATTCTTTCTTGCTTATTGCTGTTAGAAGTGTTGAAACTTTTTCTTCAGAAATAATTTTAAATAACTTCTATCCATGTTAGCTAAGGTTTTCCCCTCTTCTTACTAATCCTCATATAATAGTCCACGGAGTTGCAGAGGATTTTATTACTTGAGGAGTTTACACCATAATATTTCAATTTACAAGAAATACTTATCTCAACTTCAAGGAATTACAAAGTCGATATATTCCTTCACCGTTGTTTCTTCCTCGAGGATTACAAGAAACTCTCTTTCTTTCTCCCTCTCTCTCACCTCTCCTTCTCTCTACCCGAGAGAGCAACAACCAAAGGACTAGGAAGTGCTGCATTTGCTACTTCTCCTCTTGCCGCGAGCCAACGCCCAAGAAGAACACGAGTAGTAACCGTGCAATGCTTTCTTTATCCGTAAACCAACGTAGAAGAAAAACGAGGGAGAGCCAAAAAAATAGCCAAAAAATTGTAAGGAAAACCACTATTTTCTTTTTCTTTTTGGAGAGTAACTGCTGCAGCATTAATTGGTTGGCGGGACCCACCAAAATAGAGAATTGCGCTTCTTCCAAGAATGGGAGGCGAGAACAATTGAAAGAGGCTGCAAGCAAATTTTATTTTTTTTCGTAAACCATGCTCTACCTCAACAAATCTCTCACTTGGAGACCGGTACACAGGCTACAACGTCTTTTTCCTCAAACTAATATATTCCACTAGCAGCGTAGCTACAACGTTTTTTTCCTCAAACTAATATATTCCACTAGCAGCGTAACCCTTTTCCTCAATTGTGTTATCCTTCACCTCTACAACTCAAGGCCCCTGTCTTCAAGCTAGAAGACCAACTGAAGCTGCGCACAACTTCAGTTTCTCCAGAATAACACCATTTGTCAACATATCATTTTGTGAACATATCAACAGGGTTCGAGCTTCCACAAATTTTCTCAAGCAACAATTATTCGTCATCAAACAATGACCATATGAAGTGATACCTGATCTGAATGTGCTTAGTCCTGGACTGAAATGTTGGATTTTTAGTAAGGAATATGACACTCTGACTATCACTGTAGAGTATGCCCTTCTGATCCTTCTTGCCCAATTCTTTCAAGAAACCCTGTAGTCATATCATCACCTTTGCAGCCTCTGACACTGCTATATACTCAGCTTCTGTAGTAGACAACGAAACTGTCTTCTGCAGATTAGAGCCTCATGACACTACAGTGCCACCAAAGGTATAAATATAGCCTGTAGTACTTCTTCTGGTATCAATGTCTCCAGCTATATCAGCATCAATATAACCCCGTACCTCTGAACTCTTTCCTAAGAAACACAAGCAAGTTTCTGAAGCGTATCTTAGGCACCTCAAGATCCACTCCACTGCTTCCCAATGCTCCTTTTATTGGATTACTCATGTATCTGCTAACAACTCTCACTGCATGAGCAATATCAAGTCTGGTGAAAACCATAGCATACATAAGTGAACCAATAGCTGAAGTATAAGGAACCTTACTCATGTGATCTCGTTCCTCCTCTGACTTGAATGACTGATTCTTGTTGAGTTTGAAGTAACTTCCCAAGGGTGTGTCAACTGATTTGGCCTTATCCATATTGAATCTGCTAATTGAATCTGCTAAGTATCTTGAATCTGCTAAGTATCTTTTTCACATACTCAGCCTGAGAGAGTCTCAACTGTCTCTGACTCTATCTCTGACAATTCTCATACCAAGGATTTGTCTTGTCACTCCTAAATCCTTCATTGCGAAGTGCTCTGATATCTGCTCTTTCAGATTATTGATCTCCTCAATACTAGCACATGCAATAAGCATATCATCCACGTACAACAGTAGGATGATACAAGAATTGTCAAAATACTTGACATAGCAACAGTGGTTTGTCTGACATCTGTTGTACCCTACACTGTGCATGAAATTATCAAATTTCTTGTACCACTATCTAGGAGCTTGCTTTAGGCCATACAAGTTCTTCTTCAATTTGCAAACTGACTCTTTCTTTTCCTGTACCACGAACCCTTCAGGTTGGTGCATGTAGATGTCTTCTTCAAGATCCCCATGAAGAAAAGTTGTTTTCACATCTAACTGCTCAAGGAAGAGATCTTCAGTAGCCACCATAGACAGTACTATTCTGATGGTTGTAAGCTTCACCACAGGAGAGAAAATTTTGGAATAATAAATATTGTGTTTTCTGCTGAAAACCTTTTACAACAAGTCTAGCTTTGTACCTCTTACAGCCATCATGTTCAGTCTTCAACCGGTACACTCACTTGTTGTGTAATGTCTTCTTCCCAGCTGGAATATCTACTAACTCTCAAGATCTACTAACTCTCAAGTTTGATTTTCTAGCAGAAAGCACTAATTTCCTTACAAAGCAAATAAAAAATAGAAAGACCTTTGAATAAACACTAATTTCCTCTTCCAACAATCTATGAATTAGATATGTAACTAATCCTATGCAAAAAGCAACAAAGCAATGATGAAAGAAAGGAGAGTTTGCCTGTAGGACTTTGGGACCATGGATATAGAAGGACTTCTTGCAGCCGGAGGGCTCTGGAAGCGACTTCCCACCGAAGAACCTCAAATCCATGTTCAGAAGCTCAGATTCGATTGAATCCACCAGCAAGGATGAGGGGGATGACGACAGCTTCTTGCTCTGGATCAAAGATATCATCTCGTCGGGATCCCTGAAACGCCAACCCCTCGCCATTAGGGTTTCCAGCAAGGCTTCGCTCGAGCCCGAAATCATCTGTACTCCTCTCTCTCTCTCTCTCTCTCTCTCTCCACGCGCACACGAGTCACAATGGATCAGCTGGTTGAACAGGTTTGGGTATTGACCCTTGATGGCAGGAGGGCTTATAGACGGCTTAAATATGATTAGAGATGTTTTCACTGAAGTTAGTTTCTTCGTGCCGCTTGACTCAGATGTCTCTTTGTCTTGTTTATGATCGAATGCCTCGAATGCAGGTCATTTGACGAACTTTTGTGGTTTGATCAAATTTGACCTTGTTTGTTTTGGTTCGGACAGTTGTACTGGTTTGCATAAGTGGATCTCTTCATCTTTTGTCGACAAGCACTTTTTAATCGTCTGTTTTTTTGAATCGTCAGATTTTTTTAAGATTCGTACTGATCCATTTTCAACACAATTTGAAATAACTATTTAAATCCTTATTGGTATATATCACATTATGAAATTTTAGGCACAATTTGAAATAACAACTATTTTATTTATTTATTTTACAGTATTTCATTTGTATTTTTTTAATTAAAATAAGGTTGGTTGTAAGAATTATTTTGGAAAATATTTAAAATATTTTTTAGATATTTTGAAAATTTTTAAAAATAATTTGATTTATTTTTAAAATAAAGATAAACATGATAAAATTATACTAATTAAATATTTTTCTTAAAACAAATAAAATAAAAATAAAAAAATAAAAGTGATGTCAAATGGATATTTTACCTATTTAAAAGTCAACTTTGACTAACATTAAAACTCCATAATGAGTTTATGACATTCAAATCACAATACATTTTATTTGTTTTCTAGAATTATTTCCATTGGGCCATTTTTGTAATTATAATTATTTTATGAATAATTGGTCGTCATGGGCCCACCTAACCCATTCCATAATGGATCTCTCTAGAATTGTGTGATTCATTTCTCATTGCCAGGCACGGCAAATGAACACTTTATCTGGCATGCACGTTGAAACTACCTGACAGATTGACTTTGGAAACTGTCTTATCGAATTAACCTGCTCAAGTAACTTACATATACAACTTCAGGTGTAAAAATGTCATTTATCACTCTTGCAAGAGTGAAGATACGCTCCTCAAACATGCATGCTTACTTAACCCAATTGGTGGTAGCGGTCGAAGTAATAATTAGCGTTGAAGGGTTTACGTACACCCATGACCATTATGAGTCGTTTGACATCCACACCATCATCTATTAATCATGACAACATTGACATATTTAATATTGAATGGCTCGTGATTTGATTTTTCGTTCTCTATGTATTCATAAGGAGGGAAGGATGAGAAATATATTAAATCTAAAGACTTTATATTTAAAATAACAAAAATATTTAAAACAAATAATATTTGTTATTTCATATCAAGTGATTTCTTATTTTTTTTCCTCTATTCATTTCATTTGTCATTTTATTATAAAACTATCTTAAACTATTATTATTATTATTTTTTTATAATAAACAAGTCATCTAATGAGTTGGCATGAACTCGTAAGCTTAAGCTCCAGCGTCAGCTCAAACTCAATAAAATTAATCAAGCTAAAGCTCAAACAAAACCAACTCGAGCTAAACTCAACTCATTCACACTCGTGCAACAACAAAAATCATTGGGTGCATAAATTTGTGTTTGACGACCACTTTAGAAGGTGGGTCCCACACTTCTAAAAAAAGTATATTTTAGTGGGCCCATATTTACATGTGGATGATTTTAATTGAACACCGGACTCAAATTTACTTCCGACATCTTTAGGCAATAATCATCCCTTTAATCCATTCAAAACTCAAATCTTTCCTTCCCTCCAACAAAACCAAATCCCATACAACAAGACATTCCGTTCAAATAAGCTCACGAACAACCTCAGATCCACCAAGCACCTCCAGCTTCCCCTCCTCCTCACCCTCCTCCTCCTCCTCCTCCTCCCTCTCCCCATCCTCAATGCTCTCCGACCGCTCCCGACCACTCTTTCTCTGATCGGATTCCGCGCATCCGTTGCGGCCAGGCGGAGGTAGCTGGCCGTGAAACTGTGCAGCCGCAGCAGCCACGAGCGCAGGGGGAGGCGGGCTCTGATAGTAATCGTGAGGCGCGTGGGGCGAATGGCAATAGTGGGCCGGCAGGGGGTGTGCGCCGTATAGTGCGGGAGCTGCAGCTGCGGTTGCCGAGGTTGCGTAATCGGGAGGAACCCATATGCCTCCCAACACCAGCAGCTGCGGGGTCGCCGGAGCAACCGCGGGTGGCCCTGGTATCGGTCTTCTTGTATGCAGTCTGTATTTCTGCAAGGGAGGAAGAAGAAAAATTGAGGAATAATTATGCAATCTTTTTTGGCATTTTTTAAAATTAATTAAACATGTATAATGCATCAAATGTATTTTATATCAATTAAAAATATAAATAAATAATTCAAATTAAAAGTGACCCCTAACGGCTAGGGTTGTAAACGAGCCGAGCTTTTGCGAGCTCAGGCTTAGTTTGTGTTCGGCTCGTTCGAAATAGCTCGTGTTCGAAATCGGCTCGATTTAAATATTCGTGTTCATGTTCGGCTCGTGTTCGACTTGAAATTGGCTCGTTAAACTGGTTAAACTAAATTTAGATGTAAAGTGTGGGATTTGAACTTGGATCAAA